CGCAAATCTCTAAGGCAACTTGGTGCACACACAGCTTTTTTGAGTTTGACACAACTTTTAACCCAAGTACTGTAGCTGGCTTGATTTTTGAGTCAACTCAAAAAAAAAAAAGCTGCGCAGCAACTTGCCTCAATATTTTTGTTTTTTTAGTGTACGACATGTAGAAGATTTGGATTAAAAATGCACTCTATTCATAAGCATATTATTTGTTAAAACTGTACTGTCAGGCTTCATTTGTAAACATGGCTAAAACTGCTTGAATATTGCACATACCTAATAGTTTAAACATTTAACTAAACTCACAATAAAAATTTTAATAAGCTTAGGTGATGCTTAATTGCAGGTTAACAACAAATAATGTATTTGTAATAAAATGCCATATTTCTATTTATGAAATGGAGCTTTGTATTTTTTGAAAAATACGTTTATTTGTAAAAAAAATATATATGGCAATTTCTCACTGCTGACTTTAATGCATTAACCAATGTTTACTGATTAGGCATGGGCCAATATAAGTTTCTGAAGTTATGATAACCTTGGATAAAAAATGTCAGTTTCGCGGTATTGTGTTTACTTTACAGTATACCTTGAAAACGGTTATCGTCCCATACCTATTACTGATGAGACTTTATTTTAAAATGCTACCTGTTATACTGTATAATCTTTTTGCAATTTGATTAGTCTGAAACATGTTTACTCTGAACATGAATGTACAATAAAACAATATTTGTTGTTAGTGTACCTGTTAAAGTACCTTTTTTCAGCTTAGGTGAATATTGTGATATTATGATAAAATGTTCAATAATTAACTGCAACATGACAATATTTGCTACACTGTAAAAAGATAATGTGATTAACAGCTTCTGTATTTTGTGATTCTCAAGTGTTTTTGTTTATTTACACTTGCAAATTGCATTATGGGACGTTGATCTCTGCTCTGTCAACTTTTAATGTTAAAAATTCAACTCTGCAGTTTAAATGACTTTTACTGCCATTTTAGTAGTTTAAAGTAATGAATTTAAAGTATTATAAAAAGAAATAATTAACAGAAAGTGTACTGGCAGCTTATTAAAAGGTTTTTTTGTAGCATAATATACAACACCAATCCAGACAATGTATCACTTTAAACAATAGAAATGTAAATAAATGTCACTTTAAAAAAAAAAAAAAAAACTTTTCAATGTTCAAATTTGTTGGTAGAAATATCTAGGTCACATGCAATTTAAAAGCATAAATAAGTGGGTAAAATAAAAATGTGAATAACAAAATACGTAAAACTCCTACTTTACGGATATATTTTTAACAGTGTATGTGTCATAAGCGTACTTCATGATTACTTGTTGTATTTATTAAAGATTTCGAATAATCCAGTCACAAAAACGACAGTTTTATTTGGAATACCAAATATTTTGAAATAACAAGGCATTCAGCCCACATTACAGGAGAAAAACACTTCTATGTTAGAACAACACTGTCCTTTTGTTCAAGTCTTGCCTAGGCCACTGCGAAGGAAGCAGATTCTTTATAGCGCTGAGTGGTTGCAGACAAGGTTGTGAGGGTGTTTATACAGTTTAGCATGCTGTTTACATTGTCCGCGGGGAAGCTATCAGCACACTGTTCTCTCCCAGTAGGATTATGCAGATAAGATGGGATGTAAATAGGATGCAATGACATCTTTAAAAAAAAGTCACCTCAACACTTCTCGATTCCTTTCAAGAGTTCTTAAACCTTTTTCAGAGTCAGATTTAAGCACATTCCAGCAGTATTTTTAAAGGTTCCAGCACTTTAAAATTGTGGCAAATTACACGTTTACATAGATATGCATTAGGGCGGCAAGATATTGGAAAAATCAGATATTGCAATTTTTTTCTGTGATAAATATTGCAATTTGAATACAGTTTCACAAGTTAGATTGAATAACACTATTTGATGGTTTTCTGGGGAGTCTAACAGTACTCGGGTATATAAATTGAATAATCACAATGAAAAAAAAAAGCTTGTTTGTTATACTTTGCTTTGTCTTGTTTCTACTTCAAATATCTAATTCTTAGATTAAGAAAAAAAATAGTGTTCAACTTCACAAAAAATAGAAAATAATTAAGAGGTTTTCCTTAAAACAAGCAAAATTATCTGTCAGTGGGGTTAGCAAAATAATCTTGTTTTTGTTTTGAAATGTAGATATTTGAACAAGAAAAAAGAACTTTGCATAAGCCATATAAATTCAGTAATTAAACACAATTCTGTAGCTCCTGGTCAACTATAATTCAGGCTCAAAATCTTGCGATGTGACTATTGCGGATGAGCACATTGAGATATCAATGCCTAAAACGATATATTGTGCAGCCCAAATATGCACACATCAACACATTATATTAGATGATATGTGTCATAGTACTATAAGGAAAGATTTCCATGTTTGCCCAAAGCCCAACACTGAAATTCTGTCATCTTTCATCTTAAATGTGCCGTGTTTTTATATTGATTTTAATTTTATGAATCGTTCACGCATGAAATGATAATCTCCATGCAATCACTGCTTAATCAAAGGTGATGTAAATGATCATTAGCAGAGTCAGCACATATGTAGACTTTTTAATTTCATGCAAAAGACAAAAATATATATATATTATTGCATTTAAATAGTAAATTATGTCCTATTTAGCCACATAAATAATTGTGAAAGCAACACAATTACATTTTCAAGCACTTTATCCAAAATCATAGCACTTTCCAAACGTTAAAACGCTACATTAAAATGCAAACACTTTAAAACAAACCCAGCACAGTAAAAAAATGCTGATTTATTCTAGTCAAATTTAAGACTTTTTAAGACACTTTTAGGACCATTATGAAAGAAATTATAGACTTATAAAGGGCTTAAAAATTAAGGATTTGTTTTTCTAATGGGTTAGCTAGTTTTGGCATTAATGGAAGTTCATGTAGAGGGATGTGTTGCTTTAGTTTTCTTTCTCTGATTGGAGAACAGAATTTGCAGTAAAAAGGTCTAGCAGCTGTTGTGAATGGTATCTCTTTGCAATAAAAAAACTTAAATATATATTAAAAAAAGGTTTTGAGTTGGATTATTGGTAATTGGGTATCGGCTGGATAGGGAAGCTTTACCTGGACATAGGAAAATTAAGACCTGTTTAAAATGATTTAGGTCCTACAACTCAATATTTCAGTGAACTTAAGACTTTAAGGCCTGAAACTTTGTTTTTGAAATTTAAGACTTTTCAAGACCTTGCAGATCCCCTGGTTCCACACAATGCCTACATGTTGTTTCAACACAATTACTAACTTGCGCGTTTTTTTACAAATTTAAGTGGATTGAACATAAAACAATTATGTTGTCCCAAACAAAACTCAAGAATTGTGTTCTTTCAACTTGTATTAAATAAGTAGCTTGAACAAGAACAACGAACAAGTTGTATCACTGTTATCTGCGAGATGTAGGAGACCTAACCTTTTCGAAACTGCTTATGGTTTACATTTGTGAGCTTCGGAACCTCAAAAAAAATGTGTTTTAAATAAACACATATTTTCAGAGTGGGGACCCCACAATTAGTAACATGAAACTCACTCTCCGCATGTAGGTCCAATTCTCTGGAATCAATCAAAACTCCCAAAGGAACTCCCTGTTCCCCCCCCTTAATCTCCTGGTTTTATTACTTTCCAGACAGAGTCTGCCCATTCCACCCAGCCCCCCATTCCTCTCTTTTGTACTGATCTCCAGCAAAGCCTGTGATTTTTTACCACAGCACATTGCTTTTCATGCAGCAGAGCAGCTTTCATCAGCCTCCGCACGCAAGACAGCCCAGCCGCAAACTCCACCACGGCCTGCTCTCACCCTACGTGATCTTAATAAACAAGCACACCTATCCATACTGTAGTGAAAACATGTTGGACGGAGAGTTAAATGATGCATCGTGCACATTTAGCAAGAGCTTTATAATAATCACTATGAATGAATAGTAATAAAGAACAAACAAAAGATTGATTGATTGCAATTTATACTCTCAAAAATGGCATATTTACACAGCTTTGTTAAGGCTGCTCTTTTTGCAGCTCAATATTCTGTGCCAGAATGTAATGAAATGACACATGAACAGCCCTAAAATAAAAAATGGTAGCTCTGACCCAGCTCAGTTCCTGAATCAAAGGCAAGTCTAATGCAGTGTAACTAAAATGTAACAATCACAATCGTTCTCATGTCGGAGTATGTTTTTATTATTCATAAATGTGCTTAAATTCATCATTTCTTTTATTAAATTGAAAACACTTTGTGCAGGCTTTAAAAGTCTGTATAAATATACAATTTGAGGGCATTCTGCATTACCTTTAGACACTTTTTATCTCAGGTGTGTTTTCTTTTAGGTTTCAAGCTGATGAAAGTAATTTAATTTCACTTTTCAATGCAGAACTGCATCAAGACCAATAAAAAGTGTACATATTCTTCCCAAATGCCCTTTTTAATTTTTTTTTTCAAGCATGCATTGAAAAACAAATTCAACTTCTAGCATATCTGCACTGTACAACAATGTTTAAAATCCTAATATAAACTTCTTATGTGTAGTATGATGCAAAAGAAACACTCTTTAAGCCCAATAGAAATTAGGTTATTAGCCTAAAATGAACAATCATTTACGCTGTTTTCCATCAAGCCAGTTTGGTGACTCATTTGTTAATAATAATGAGATTTTCTATTCAGGTGGACATGTTAAGGTGTTAATGCAGATCATACATTTTCCATAAATTAGATTTTCAGAGCAAATATGAAGACCACGGCTGGATTAGACGTAATGTTTTGATTAATGGGGCTGTCAGCAGTACGTGTTCAATGAACTGGATAAATACCATTGATTTTCAAAGTTAGTTGAGATTAAAATGTTAGTCACACACACTCGTTCCTGCACATATTTACACATATTTCACACTCTTGGGAACAACAGGGAGCGGGCTGCGCCGCAGAAAGTTTGAATGCTCTTCAATCCCATTCTTACCTTTTTCAGCATGTGAAACTGTGATCGTGAGGCAGAAAAGAGAGAGGAGCAGCCGGGCTCCCCGCTCCGCCATCACTTTAAACACGAATAAAAGAAGTGTGAAAAGCCACGGAATCAATCCTTATTTAAAATCCCTCTGATCGTGCGCACGGAGCAGTTCAACAGTGTGAACACATCCGGAACGAGTTACTTCCGAAAGTTGCCGAAGGAAACATGAAGCTCGTTGAGCAGAGACACACGACCAGTCGCAGAAATGCGCTTTGAAACTTCAACAGGCGACCGAGAAAAATCAAAGTCAATCCATATTTCCGAGATTAGACCAACGCCGAGCTGGAGTGTAGCGAAATGCGAGGCGTCAGCGCAGACATAATGTGTAAAGGTGAAGAGAGAGAGAGAGAGTCAGTCCGGACGGTTGGAGATATTTTTCACTGATCTCACTGAGAGAGAAAGAGAGCAGTAGGAATTCAGATCGGAACCTGGGAAAGCCGGAAGTGGATTTCAAAGAGATCGGGATTCACCTTACTTGGCAACCACAAAAGCCTGAAATGGCGTTAAAAATGTTTTTTTCTAGACAACAATTTGAAGTCTTTTTTTTTTTTTTAGATAGATTTATAATTATATTATTGTTAAAAGTGATTTGTTACCACTATCATACCCTCTTATATATAGGGTACGGTAGTGGTTATAAAAATCACTTATATTGTAAACTTTACATTTATGGGGCTAAAATCAAGAAAATCGTTCATTCATTCGTTCTCTTTTTGGCTTAATCCCTTTATTAATCTGGGGTCGCCACAGCGGAATGAACCGCCAACTTATCCAGCATATGTTTTACGCAGTAGATGCCTTTCCAGCCGTAACCCATCCCTCGGGAGACACTCATACACTCTCATTATCACACATATACAATATGAACAATTTAGCTTACCCAATTCACCCATACCACATCTTTGAACTTGTGGGGGAAACCGGAGCACCTGGAGGAATCCCGGGCAAACGCGGGGAGAACACACAAATTTCACGCAGAAATGCCAACTGACCCAGCCGGGGCTCAAACCAGCAACCTTCTTGCTGTGAGGTGACAGCGCTACCCACTGCCCTGCCTAAAATCAAGAAATAATTTTTATTATTGGTTTTAAATTAAACTGCATGGGTCACCCCAAAGTGCAAATTTGCTACTATTTTACTCACCACATAACATACAAGCAGGGGTGAATTTAACCAATAAGCGAGGTAAGTGGCCGCTTAGGGTCCCAGAAAATCTGGGGGACCCCAATAAATATCTAGAAGTATAAATGATCTATAAACAATATATAACATCGTTTTCTATCATATTTTGTATAGTGAGAGTCAAGCTAATAAAATTTGAACACAAATATTATTTAATATGCGATAAAATGTAATATTATTTATTATAATAATGTATCGTTATGTAATGATAATATTATAAAACAAAATATCCACCACCCCAAGTCATGGAGCAGTCCAGCAGTCAAATTTACAAAATTATTTTTAGTTGTAAATTCATTTTAAGGAAACAAATAATTTAAAATGTAGAGAATGCATTAAGATAAAACCTAGAAAAGGGTTAAGTGATATATTTAAAAATAAACAAAATAAATAAAAGTTAAATATAAGTACAAGGGGAGCACCTCAGGACTTGGGCCCCATGGCTGAATTTGCTGAGGGCTCTTAAATCTCTAAATCCACCCCTACATACAAGATCACATATACAATGCAAACAGGAATATTTTTCACGAGTGATTACTAATGTTGGTTAGGTTACTTTTTAAAAGTAGTCTAATTACCAATTACTTCATTAAAATTGTTTTTCAATTACTTTTTCCAATTACAATTACTATTTACCTCCTTGACTCAATACTAAAAGTTAACGTAATTCACAATGCATATAGACAATTAAAATAAACTCTTAAAATTCTTTAAGTTTGTGTTAAACAGGACATTTAAAAAATTTTTATTAACACTTTAAACAAAATATGTACCAAAATAAATGTAGCAAGGTGGCTAAGTGGTTAGCATTGCCGCCTCACAGCAAGAAGGTTGCTTGTTCGAGTTCAGACTGGACCAGGAGGCCTTTCTGTGTGGAGTATGCATGCTCTTCCCATGTCTGCGTAGAACACCTATGGGTGCTCAAATTTCCCTCAGTCCAAAGACATGCGCTAGGTAAATTGGATGAACTAAACTAGCCATATATAGTGCGTGAGTGTTTCCCAGTTCTTATGCTTATACTCTCAGTGCTGTGTTGCAACTAAAATGTCATCTGCTGGTAAAATATATACCTGAGTAGTTGGCAGTTCATTTCAACTGTATGTGGTGTCTTCTGATAAAGCATGGACTAAGCTAAAGGCAAATAAAAATGATGATGTTTCTGATTAATCACATTATATTTCATGCACTATATACAGACAGTTTTTACTGTGCAATGTTCTGACACATTTAATGATCTTTAGTTAAAAAATGTAATTATTCCAACTAAAAATACAATTGCTCTGATTCTCCGAATTGATTTATATGGAACAATTAGATATTTTGTCGTTAAAATACTTAATTTTTTCAGCAGAAAAGTAATCTAATTACAGTAACTATAGTTCTTTGTAACTGATCACACACAACACTCGGGATGGGAGTGAGTTTCCTCATTTAAATGTGCACAGAACACGACTTCTGAAATTGCATTGAATGAACATTTGGTATATCTGCTAGTTTTGACCAAAGTAGTTATTTTCTTCTGCGCCTTTAACTAAACTACAGTCAGAATAGGCATCATTATAGTTTGGAAGGCTGCATCAGAGCACGCCTCTGAAGTGTTGCCATGTCCTCTTTTTATAAACAACACCAGTCTTTTAAGCAATCATGGTCTCAAACGCTGGTTGCAATATTTAGATTTGTGTTTTGGTTATTTCTTACAAAGATTTGCATTGAATTAATGTCTGCTTGTTCTTATGTTTTTATAGTAAGATTTGGCAACATTAATGATTTAAGATGTAGCTTGTTAGGCGTTAGAGAGTGATTTCTGATGATCTGCATTTAAATATATCACCAACAAGTGAAATGTATGTCAATGAAGTATCACTAACTGCAATTTCTATAAGTTTAATAATTTGTTTAAAGCAGTTTTAAATCATATAAACCAGGGGTGCTCAATCCTGTTCCTGGAGATCTACCTTCCTGCAGATTTCAGTTGCTACCCATATCAAACACACCTGAACCAATTAATTAGGACCTGAACACCACGTGATAATTACAGGCAGGTGTGTTTGATATGGGTTGCAACTGAAATCTGTAGGAAGGTAGATCTCCAAGAACAGAATTGAGCCCCTGATATAAACAATATTGCCAGGGAGTTCCCTGTTCAATTGTGCTCTTTTTAAAAATGCATAGAAAAAAAATCGCTTGAGAAAACCGATTGCTACAAACCATTTTAGTTAAAAACTAATCTATATAAGTAGTGAACTTACTCCATTTAAGTTAAAGTGATGAGATATTTTATTAACTCATTACCTTCAACACTAAGTTTAAAACTCTTTTCAAATGAGTAGAATTAACTTCGTCAATTTTGAGTGTTGACCACACTCATTTCATTTGATAAAGTTGACTGTTGAGTTTTACAGTGTTGTTTTGATGTCCTTTAGAAGGGAGTCATATTGTGCAATCCACTCTCCACTCACACTTCTGTCATATGTTGTGATATAATTTATTACAGGCATCCAAATATAATTTTACAACCTTATTATATTTTTATTTTAAACTGCTTCCAACACTAAAAAATACTATTAAATATTATGTTTTTGGCAATGTTCTTTTGTTGTTACATATAAAGCGGAACAGCTGACAAAATGTTGAAACGTGACCAAAATCTGCTAATTCATCTCCCACTGAAAAATGCAGCAGTCAGATCCACTCTAAAATATTCATTTAGAAGAGCTCCATCTAATGGCAGGTTTACTCATTCCTCATAACGTGCTTTGCTACAGTGAGGGCAACAGATGGTAAAGCCATGGTACCGAATGAATCATTTGCCATGCCATTTACATGTATTTCAGTGCTTAGTGTCTAAAAAAACATTACTTCATCCTCCTTTTTCAGTAGTGTAGAATTCCTCTCAGACTGATTTTAAAAACGAATTCAGTGATCAGTGAAACGTTGTGGAGTGTGAAGAGGATATTAGAGGCAATTCTCACATTATCCATGCACTGTTCACCTCAGTAGTATTACATCCTTTTTCATTTGCACAGGCAATTATTATTCATTCTTTACCTCTAGTGTATAACATTATAAGCTGTGTTGAAATGTACAGGATGTACGCATGAGGTGTTGGGTGTTATTTTATGCTAATAGCGATATGGGATCTCTCACAGCTCGCAGCTGAACACGCTACTCTTGATTAGCTTGAACCTTTGGGATCAGCTAACCCACAAAATAGAGCCAGATCCCTTGGTTACTTGTTTAGATTTCAACAAGGGTCTCTGTTTGTTACTGTTTGCACAGTGGTGAAATTATGAAAGTTGGAATGATGGACGGAACTGAACTGCGTGAATGATTCAACTGTATGTATTTTTTCTTCACTTGGTGGCTAGAGGATTAAAGCACTTGGCGGTGAAACTGCTGAGGATTACAGGGATTAATACAGGTTTAGAAAACGCTGGCGGAATTAATCTGATCACTGTAAGCACTGAACCTTATTAATTTAAGACAGACTATTTGGTTGTGGACGGGGACATCATATGTCATATGAACACCTGTGTTCTCTGAGTGGCCCGTTTCACAGTCCTCAGATTCATCCTGAATGATACAGGTTAATAGAGTTCACTCTATTAGTTTTCTTAGTTGAAATTTCTTCTACTGTCACTCTGCCAAGAGTCTGATAGCTCAGCTAGTAATTTTTCATTACAAAAAATTCCTGTAATGTTCCCTTTAATGTTTTCTTTGAATGTTCTTAAAACGTTTGAAATGTCCAGTTGTTTAGATGTTGTATTAATGTTCTTGTTTGGTTATAATAACGTTAATACGTTATAACGTTTCATTCTCCCATTATATAGATGTTCTCAGAACGTTATTCATTCATTTATTTATTTTCTTTTCGACTTAGTTGCTTTTTTAATAAGGGTTCGCCACAGCGGAATGAACCACCAACTCATGCTGCAGTCACACTAGAGTTTGTGTGAGTAAAATTCTGTTGAACAGCACTGCAATACACAAGATGGTTGGACATTTAAAAAAGCGAGCGATTGGTCCGTGTTTTAACTCTCTGTCCAGAGAGGTCATGTTTTGATCTTCGATTGGTCTCACGCAATCATGTGATGCGATTTCGCAGGTCAGAGTTCACCAAGCTTGAACTTTCCAATGCAGCGAACTGCGTAAACTTGTCTCACAAGCTTGAGTTTTCGGTCTGACGCATTTGCGTGCGTATGAATGGAAGTCTATGAGGAGAAAAGTGCAGTGTGACCGCAGCTT